AAAAATTATAAAAAAATAATAAAAAAGTATTTTGGATTAAATGAAATATTGAAAAATTCGCAGAAGTCTAAAGTCTATTTAACAATTTTTTTTAAGCTATTGTACTATTTTACTACAATTCTGACAAAAATTTGAAGTATTGCCTATTTCACTCCATGACAATTCACTCTCATCCCTGCACTGGTGCGTCTCATTTGTGTTTTTAGAAGTAATTATATTGTTTTTAGTTTATGTTTTTATTTTCATTATTTCTAATAAATGCTAAGTAAAATGTATTTACTTTTTAAAAAAATGTCATTATTTATAAGTACGAAATTTCTGTTTAGTTTGTTTAATGTAAAGTAAGAATACAAAAAATAATAGAACAAGAGTAGATAATTCGCTTGTTTCGGGTCTTACTCGCTGGCTTGTGGGAATGTCATGCCGGTAAATGAAGGTGAGAGGGTTTCGGTGTACATCTCACACCCGGTACCTTGAAGATAATCGTTTTGCCAGGCCTGTGTATCTGGTGACTGAAAGTTAAAAATGATTCGGATGTGGTACGGATTTTAGTAACCAAAAACCAACAAGAAATAACATTATAGCAAATTCTTATATACAATCGAAACTACCAAATACGATATGGAGAGGAGGGGCGTTTAGATAAAATAGATGCAGTTGTGTATTGCTGCAGTGCAACGAGGAATTGTTCTTTTACTTTACAGCATAGGCCAGGCATTGTACGTCATACGCTCGTTCCGGAAAGGGAGTTGCTTGAGCAACTGCATTTTGATACAAGAAAGGATGCAAGACTTGATTTTTCTATCGCAACAATTTTACTCCTTAAGTCTACTATGCGATATCGTTGGAGCCGGAAAAGTGCAGCTTTAACAACACAGGTCTATTTTCATGCTTCTAATTTTGAGGGCGAAATCCAAAGGGCCACTTTAGTAGTTGTCGTATTCAAGCTGAATAGTAGTGGAATGATAGGTTTATTACTCTCATTCAGGTGTCCCTCTTTGCTTACTCCTTCTAAGAAGCATTGACTGAAGATTTTGCACGCGAGCAGACTATTTATTATTTAAAAAATGGTAGGCATACATGGCGCACTTTGCTTTATGTACAAACAGAAATATACCTCCTTTTTGCAGTACAAAAGAAAAAGAGAACGTATAAACAATCGAAAGCAACACAAAATAACCTAAAAGCGCAGTTATTGTAAAAGTTTGGCATATTTGCAATGAAAATAATAGAAAATGGCTTTAACTATGTATGAGTATGCTCGTATATTGAGTATTTATGTATATATGTAACTGAAAATATTGCTTAAATGTTCATTGCAAATGATTACTTTGTGTATTACACTATACGCTCAAGTAATAGCACCACTTGCTTAGTTTTTATTTTTATGGATGAACTTTCAAGTCGCTCAATTTATGCATAGTCGCTCGAGTGAAGACTAAGAGACCGATTTGAATTAATATTTCTTATTGGTTAGTGTTATATTCGAGCGTTTTAATAAACAAAATATGGCGAAATTGACCCAGCTCTTTATATATATATTTTATAGAGTCTCCGCGTTTCCTTCTGGGTGTTACAAACTTCGTAGTGAACTTAATATACACTGTTCAGGGACAAAAAGTAGCCCCTAGTGGTGACAATGTATATAGAGTAGATGTACTCAACAAATCAACCAAGATAAAAACAGTTCCATGTAAACGTGGCTAATCTTTGAAAATTCCTCTTTAAATGAAAAGTATTTTTATTTATTTTTTAAATAAAATATAGCTTCAAAAAATATTCACACAAAAAATCGATTTTTCTGGCTTGCAAGTGCACTTAATCCCACAAAATAAACAAAAGCAGGTTTGTGAAGTGCTAACACCTGTTGAATTTTCTCAAAGCATTACTATAATATTTATAAGGAAGCTATTTGCTTAATATTTGCTGTAAATACAAATACTATCATCCAGATTATTAATTATTTGTATTCAATGCAGGAGTAGTCGTCCAATTACACATTAAATTCAGAATAAACAGTGGTGCTCTTACTGGTTGCCAAATTTTGAACATTTTGTGACTTTTTCAGTATAAGAAACGTAGTATGTGCTCTTTTTGCAAATAGTACATATGTGTGTGTGTGTTGTTTTTTGGTTTGATAATAGTCAACAAATGTGCTTAACGCATTTCTATCTTTATTTTTTGCAATAAATAATATTATTTTTATATTTTTAAAATTTGTATTGCACAGAGCGCTTTCACCTGTACAAGTAGATCACTTTGGTCACAATTTTCTCAGATCTTGAATAATAAACATCAAAGAAAATCACTAGTTAAGACTAATACGACTTGGTGCTTTGAATTGTTTTAAATTGTGTCTTTATATGCGGGAAGCAGCTATTTTTCATTGCGCTGAAGATGCTGCTCAAAATTTTTGGAAGAGTTCTTAAGTTTCTGGTGGTTTTTAAGTTCGTGGTGGTGGTATTCTAGCATCAAGCTGATTCCATCTTATCTTTATATACTGCTAATCATTGGATCAGTGGTGTGCTTTAAGAACTCTCGCTAACCAATTAACCGAAGACTTTATCGACATTGCATTATCACATTTTGGTGTTTAACATTATACACAACTCATATACGGCTTCTTGTGGATGAATCTTTGCTCTGCCGAAACCTTAACTGCAGAGTCCAGATATATAGAGATATAGATATAATTTTTCTCAACTCTTCTAAGAAATCTTCTTTTTGATTTTGGACAGATATAACCTTGTTTCCTGAGTTCACTTCTAACAATGGTTGATCTAAGTAGAGGTACTTTTGTTCAGTCATGTTTGGTATTTCATCATGGAAAGACAAATCATTCAACTTTTTTACAAAAATTCGCGTACTGTAAATAATATATTTCGCTCGCTCCGCTCAACCTATGGTCAACACAATCTGCCTACTAAACGTAGTGTTCGGAAAATGATCCACATCTTGAGACCCAGCATTTATTACTGAATAATATTCGACCGAATAGATCACGTCCAGCACACTATCACGAAATTATAGCAGCCGTAGCTGAGAGTGTACACGAAGACCGTGGAGAGTCGATTCAGTGCCATTCGCAGAAACTCAGACTCGAGATCTTAAATTGAAAGCGTACGAAATACAGCTTGTTCAAGAACTGTAGTCGCTCGAAATTCGCAAGCGACATCCTTTCACTCTATGGGCTCTTGAAAAGTTCCAAGAAGATTCAACGATTTCAAGCGAAACTTCGTTCAGAAATGAGGCCCATTTCTGGTTCAATGCAATGTAAGCAAGCAAAATTGCCGCATTCGCGACGAAGAGCAAAAAAATTATGCCGGTTTCATATTTTGAACCGGTCGATGCGCCGCAAAGATAGTGTGTTATTACACTGTTTGACTTTTTCCTGTGGGGATGTGTAAAGCCTAAAGTCTATGCGGACAATCCCGTTTCGATTCAGGCTTTGGAGCAAACCATCATGAGTGTCATTCGCCAGTTACCAGTCGAAATGCTCGAAAGAGTCATCGAAAATAGAACTCAACGAACCATCTGAGATGTAGCCGTGGCCAACATTTGAAAGAGATATTCTCAAAAAATTAACGCCAAAGAATGTTCTTTCGAATAATAATAAACATTTCCCTTTAAATTTGAGGTTTCTGTGTTTTTTCCTTAAAAATGTAGGCACCCTTTTTAATCCATATACAAAATAGGAAAAAAATTACCAAATAACATGTGAGGAAATAAGATATAGAAAATCTGTGGCACTTATGCAACCTAAACTACTTGGACATAATTATGATTAATTGAAATATTTGGCACGAGATTACACAAACCTGAAAATATTTAGAAAATATACAATCCAAAAATATGAAGTTCTATTTTTTTCCAAAACCTTTCAAAAAGTTGTACCTATGACAAGTATTGGTGCATTTTTGGTAACTTTCACTTAAATTAATTTATATATCATACTTCCAATTAATAAGAGACGAATTCGTATAAACAAAAAATAACAATTTTAGTAATTTAATTTTATAATTTTTTATTTAATATTTTTTTATATTTGATTAATTGAAAACATGAAAAGGAAACTGCACAACATCAAAGGCATTTGTAAAAGACACTTAAAAAGTCATTGGAAAACACCACGAAAATATGAAAACGAAAACTAAACGCAAATACCAGTATAGTTTGTTGAAAGAAGTGTGTGAAGATTCGCCAAGTAAAGATAATGTTGAGAAAGTAAAATCGAAAGAGGCTGTGTGTTTACGTTTTACGAGTGAAATTTCGTTCAATTTACTTGTATTAATTACTCACAACTAATTAATTGACTCATGGAAGAAAAAATACATAAAAATACCGTCAAACAACAATTAGAATGACGTTCGAAAAAACATTTACAACGAAAATTCGACAAACTGGATATTTTCTGTTGTGTCTATATGGTGTATGGTGTATGTAGCGCTGTTAGTATACGTGTGTGTGTGTGTATTTCTGTATGCGAATTTGAGCGAGTGAGTGAGTTGTGCTGTCATTTTCATATTTGAAATCAAAATTCGTTTGTAGTTTTGTGTATTATGTAGTATGATAAGTTCGTTTGGTGTGGAAATATTGGAAAAAAATGGAAAATTATTATGAAAAGAGCCAATCAGATATGCTTAATGTAGGTGTGTCAACCAACAAAAAAGAAAATAACAAATAATTAATGATTAATAAGAAATATAGCTCAAATGTACATTTACGAATATTTGTAGTAGATACTGTATATCATACGATAGAGGTACGCATACGAATATGTGAAATTTGTATGAAGGTAAGTTATTCGATAGACACGCCAATGCTCGCGTTCAAAAACTTACTCAGTGGCCTGAGCAAATGGTATTCCAATAAATGTTGGACTCAATGTTTCAGTGTACATTTCCATGCCCGTGCCGCGCAGATAGTCATTGGTCCAGGACTGCATGTCTGGTGACTGCAGGTACATACACATTGTTGTTGTTGTATATATTGTGGGGTATGAATTAAAAATATAATTTTGGTTATTGTGGTTATATATAAAAATCAAGAGTTTATCTTAAAAAAAAATATCTGTAGCTTCTTAGTGCTGCTGGGCACTGATTTACTTTTTACATCCAAGCTATGTATTAAATGTAGTAGCGTTTAGCCAATTTAGGCAAGCATTTTTAGGTGCAGCCGTATGATCAGATTTTTACGCCTAATTCTATAATTCTATTACTCATTGATAGAAAATATTACGGTCACGCAGAATCTAATACATCACAGACATCATTATTGCTATATCGTGGCATTGTTGATATATTTTAAACAATTATCCCTTTTTACAAAAATATTTTATTATTTTATTTAAAGTAATGTTCTTAATTTAGTTTTTGTGCTCAGTACTTACAGTTTTAAACGATCGCATCGCGAATAAATTCGCCATCATTGTTGAGAAGCCCGGCGCCAGGCAACTCTGTGCAATGAAGCCAAGCTTAAGTTCGGCCAGACAGATGACATCATCACCCTGTTTCCAATCCCATGAGGGTATGTTGAGTAAATAAGCCTGAATCATAGATGTTGAGTTAGTAAGTTATTGATATTTTATTTGCACTAAATGTTCAATAATGTTGTGTGTGACTAACTATTTTAAAGCAGACAGTGTTAGAAAATATTGGATCTATAACTATTTTCGTGGGCTTTGCCATGTGAAAGTGGTCTTCAATATTATTCCATATTTCCAAGATACCGAAAACGTTTAACAGCCAGATACATACATACATATATTGAAAAGCAAGGCAATTGGGTGCCATATGAATTTAAGTGAAGAGACGTTGAAACACGATTTTGGGTGTGAGAAAGGACGTGCTGTTTTATAAAATTCTAAAACCGTGTGAAATCTTGAATGAGGAACGCTGCCGACAACATAACTTTTTTATATTTTTTTCATATTTTTTATTTCATAGTAGCAGCAGTAATAGAAGTAATTTTGAAACGGGTTTTTGTAGAGTTGTAGGGCCTTTGTTTGCATTTTTGAGAAAACGTTCCACTTTCCAGAGTAATATAGATTTTATACCGTGAGAAATTTATAGATAGAGATTCTGTTGCAAAGGAGCCGAGATAAAGGAAGGAGCTTGACATCGATGATAGAAATAAATGAGATAAGCTAGCAAGAATGTTAACAAAAAACTTAGGAAATTGGGTATAAAATAGTAATGAAGAAACTCGGCGTTCGGGTAAAGTCACTTAACATAGGCTCGATTACTCTCCTCTTGACAACATGGCTTCAGGCCCAGCAGATGAACTCTAGTAGATGTAAAATGCGTTATTGAAAGTGTAGAAATCGCACAGCGTATATGGCATAAATACAAAATAATAGTACTGGTGGAGAGTTTAGATTACAGAAGCGCTAAATGCGTGGCTATAATTGACGCTTTCGAAAAAAGCTTTAAAATCCCCGACTACATCAGAGCTGTGGTGCAGAGCTACCTTAATAACAGAAAACAGCTGTGCCATACTAAAGAGAGATTACGACAGATAGCGGTCATGACAGGAGCAGCAAAAGGACCCTTTCTATGTCCAAACTTCTGGAACATCAGCTACAACGTTATACCAAAAGTCATAATGCCAGACGAATCGTACTTAATTGATTCCGACGACAATGCATCAGTGGTGGTTTTAGTGACCTACAGGTGGCACAACAGCACTGACGATGCGGAAGACATTTTTCACCCTCTCATCCGCAAAAAAAAAAAAAAAAACATATACATATATATGATATCCCACTTATCTATTGAATAATAAATTCAGATATCTTACCTTATTATGATATTGCATAAGTTGTATAATCACTCGTATGTCTTCGCTGTAGTTTTTAATCGAGATGACTCGCATAATATTGGCAGCATCTTCAGCATCGGGATCTTGGCAATATTTATTGGCCAGTACCAAGCAGGCATCAGCTTCATGTACCTACACCAAAACCAATCACATGACACGATGTGCACACGAGACAATACGAAGAGAAATAATGAACAGTTAGTAAAAATCAAATAAATAAAAAATGCTCTTCTTTATAATAAAAATGTATGTATATTAGTTGTGGCGGTGGTTTTGGTGACAATGAGTTCTGGTGAAGTGTGTGGCAAATGAGGTGAACACAGAAAGCGGAATTTATGCGCCTAGTTTGAATATTTTAAATAGTTTCTTGGAGCATATTAATTTCAAGTACATATATCCTTAAACGGTTTCCTGGAAAGTTGCCGAAAGGAGCGTGGGATGAGGAATGCTTTTAATATGCAATGAGTAGCGAAATTATGTTTTGTTGAATAACACGAAATCATTTTAGGTGATTCCAAAATTAACTTCAAGTAAAAAATGTCGTTACGCTAAAACAAAAAAAAAAAAAAAAAAAAAAAAAAAAAAAAAAAAAAAAAATAAATAAATAAAATAAATTGAAATTAAAAACTCAAATATTGCATTGAACAGGCATGCTTAAATATTTTGTGTAACTTTCATGCAATAAAATATTTTTATTTACTTTAGTGAATATTTAACATGTTTTCAGTAAAATTTATGGTACACTATTTACAGTAATACATGCAGCAAGCAGAATCACTAACTCTAACAATTAACATGAAAACATAGAATTTTGTATTTATATACATATATGTCTGCATAGATATTAATAGTTTAAAAAGTTAAGACATTTAAATAAATATTTTTGTCGTTATTACCAATAATTATTTTAGGTACTGAAAATTAATTACAATTTATTATTTTGTGAGATATATTTTTTCGTTAAAGTCACCTTTTAATAATATTTACTATTTAAAGTTTGTCAAAAAATCATTATTTCTAATGCAATAAAAATGGTCGACTAACTACTTAATATATCAAATTTATTTGTATTTGTATGAGCGCTAAATTTATTTACTTTTGAGGCGTTTTGAATTGCTTCCTTTGATAAAAAATTAATATACACTCGTGGCCACCCAAACCTTACCACTCAAAATTTTCCACTTTTGCACATATTTGACTACACTTTGTAGCGGTACTTTTTGCGGTATAGAAAGTTTTTATTTAGAAATAAGTTAATGACATGTTATTAATCAATAATATAAAAAATTAAAAACAAAACACAGGCATCTATAGATAAATCAGTTGAAGATAGTGAGCTTTACAAAATGAGCTCGAAATATCGAGACTGACGTGCGATAAGAAAATTGTATATTTTTTCAATTTAATTTCTTTTACACTATATTTGAAATTAAAATTTTTTAACATTTTTTTTAAGTTAAACACGAAGTTCAGACGGTGTTTACTTACTTTAAACACTATAACATCAGGCGCTTTTGTATAAGCACAGAAAAGCTAATTTGTGTTTTACTCATTAAAGGTGATATATTAATAAAAACTTATATTATAATTAGATAATATAATTTAGTTTACTTATGCTTACTAAAAACATAAAAAAAACAAAATTTAAGAAAATCCCGAACGAAGGAAAAAGTGGTAGTGGTAAGGTTTGCGTGACCACGAGTGCATGGATTTATATTACAAACTAATATACCTTCATGGCGAAGTTTTGTAATACGTAAATTGTAATAAAATAATAATTAAATAAATTGCAGAAATTGCAAAAAAACCAAATTACATAAATATTCCATTTTTGTAACTATTTCGAGTTTTTTGAAAATCTAAATAATTTTTATAAAACTTAAAAAATTATAAAAACATAAATTATTATTTATGTCAGCAGCTTGTAATAAACTTAAAACTACTTAAATTGAGCAATATTGAGCTCATCTGCTGCATTATATTGAATGTTACTCATACGCAATGTAGTACATGAATTCTATATTGATCGACAATTTCTTTAGAAGTCATAGTAAATGACTAATATTACTCATACGCCATGTAGTATATACATTACATATTCTATTTTTCATAACTATTTTTAACAGCTTATACATATATTTACATGTATGTAATGTGTACATATATCTAATATATAAATTAAAGCAATTTTTCTAAATAAATAAATTAGAATTTCTACACCAAAATGTAAAAAAGTGTAAAAATAATTTATGAGTATACTACCACATTCTATACTAACATTAAACAATAAACCACTACAAAATACAATTATTTTTTCATATATTGAGGCACATATATCGTATTTACAAATAGATACATATATATATATAATTAAAGAACACCATAGAGCTATCAATATATATGTATATATTAATTAATCGATAAGGTGACTTGTTTTAGCCCTTCTACTTGTTTCCTTGTATTTCTAATCAAATATTAAAACGCTTGTTTTGAGTAGATGAGTTCTTCAATATGAGACTCCACTCTAGAGCTGATAATAATAATAATTATACCCAACGATTACCCTCCTCCCGCTCAACCGCCGCGAGGGGCGACAATTCATGTGTATAGATAAACTTTCTTGCTTATTTTTATTGAACTTTTCGTTCTCTTTCTAATCGATTGCAAATGGATATTAAGAATACAAACTTTATGTTTACAAAAACTTCGATCGATTGCCTTAGAGATTCTAATAATCCACGGGTGTATATTTTTTCAACTATTTTTCGACATTGTATACTAAGTTTTTTCGCGTATTTTGTAGTTGAGGTTTATTCGCTTATATGAATTCAAAATTATATAAAATCCATTGATTCATATATACCTACATATATTATACATATTAAACGTACATATATCCGGGCTGTATTACATTTTAGAAAGGATTCAGAAAATATGCTCGAAAATATTCTTCACATTTTACAAAAGCGAATTCAGGGAAGGCAAAGCATTTCCAAAGTACAAGATAGAAAGGGGCACTGTCGATGTTTCCTTTCATGAATTTTATTTTTAAATAAATTTATTAATTCATTTTTGATTAGTTATTTCAACTACTTGGTGAAAATATTGAGTATATTCCATAACTGATTTTGAACATTTTTTTCGCCTAAGGCAAAGACTCCTTATGTTATGTCTGAAAAAGTCGAATTGGATTCGTGCTATTTATCAGATATGTATATGGTAGATAGCGGTTATAATTACTCTTACTTATGTAATTGTACAGTTATGATTGTTTACATGTAGTGATTAAAAATAGTTTATAAAATTATTTATAAATTGTTGTCTTTAAAAGTGATATTCACATAGACAATATTAAAAAAATATTAATAATAACCAGATTTTTATAGAACATTTTCTTCTTCATTAGTACCAGTTAAGATACGTAACGTGCAAAGTACTCGGTAGATAAAACAGCAAAACATTTTTATAGATGACAAGTTCTCACAATTTATTACATTATTATGTTATATTCAATAAGTTTTTTAAAGAAAATCAAAGTTTTATGTTTGTTTTATCATGATATAATAGTACCCGACGGAAAAACTAAAATATCATTATCGCGAGCCTTATTTATTTCATCGATATATACATAATTGATGTTGGAATTTTAATAAAAAAATAAATAAATTTTTTATAATATATAATGTAAATTTCAGTTATATATCGTCTCAGCATGACTGTGAGACAAAATAGTCACTTTGACTATTAGTAGTATGTGATCATCTGACAGATGGTTGATGACTTCTTAATTTTTTCGTGAAGGTCATGTGCTTTTACTTAACTTTAGAAGAAAAACATTTTTTTAAATATATGCTTGAGTAAGAAATGTTCCTTACAAACCAAACTATAGGTACGTAAGAGTGTATAACGAGTAAATTGTTTTTGAAATTCACGTTGAAGGCTGGTAAACAAATTTTGGTTTCTATGAAGATAGCTGATTTAAAACTGCCTCCCCAAGAACAAAAAAAAAAAAAAAAAAAAAAAAAAAAAAAAAAAATCTAAAATATTACTGATTACCAAATGTGTGATTAAATGAAATTTTGTATCTAACGTTTCGATGTATTTATCACACAAAAAAAAAAAGAAATACAGGACACCATTTAAAAATATACAGTGAAATAATTAAAGATCAAAAAAGTAATCGACGGCTGCACTTTACTGATACGAATATTAGATATTGTATGCGCTAGCATTTTGATTATTTTACCAATGATTGTCAAATATTCACACCAATATTAAGTTGTTTAGACACTTATACATAGTAAGTATGTAACGGTTTATTGTAAATCATGACATTACGAGTACGTGTGAGTCTGTGTGAACGTGTGTGACAGCTGTGTGAACAGTTATGGACAGTTATTTCAATGAACCAATTATACACAACACAAATTGTGAGCATTTTCATATTTGTTTGTTAATGAAATAAGAAATGAAAAACCACTAAGCAAATAACAAGGGAAAATAAACGAGTTAGTTGGTTGACAAAGAAAAATGTTATATGCAAATTAATTGAACAAAAATTAGTGATGAAACAAATATAGAGGTAATTTGAACCAACTCAACGATGACGCAATAACAGATGAACAGTTAGATGAGCAATCGAACGTTTACCTTAACCCGTTGTAGATCAATTGGATTCATAATGGTCCCTTGAAAGAACTCCACTGTGGTAAAGTGACGTTTGAATAAACCCTCTAGTTCCAAGTCGGGTGGTTTACTTTTGAATTTGTTGTTTAATTTCGTTAGAAATTTTTTAAATTTAAATTTTTGGGTTTTTCGTTTTTTTGTTTAATTTTCGTTACAATATTAAGCATTATATAAAATAAAAAACATATAGTTTTTTGGTTTTAATTTTCAAACAAGGACAAAATCATTGAGGTGGAAGCGATGTTTTTGGTTTGAGATTTGTTGTTTTATGTAGTGAAGTTTATTTTTATTTATAATTTTTAACATTTTTTCAGTAGCAGGTGTGGGTTGTTTTTTGGTTTGTTGATATTGTTGTAGACATGGTTGTCAGTTTTGAATTTTCATATTTCAATTAAAATATGGAATGGAAGAAAAATAAAATATGCAAAATCATTAATTTCTTATTAAATGGTGTTTGCTTAACAAAATAGTAAAATCGGTGAAATAAAAAAGGAATGTAAAAACCTCTCAGGTTTTAAAAATTCTTATGATTTATTGTATATAACTTTTCAACTCTACTTTTCAATATTATAAAGTACAAAGTTTATAACGTATTATATAATATATATATGATATAATTGTGTAACATTTTTATTCAACTGTTCCAATACATTTTGGAAAAATTTTAATCGATGCTCATATTATTGTTAATATTAGCTAAAATTTTGCATATGCGAGTCATTTATTCTTTCTTGTTAAGAGGTTACATGGGCTTACGGGTTTTAAAAATCAAATCTTTTTTTTATGATATTAAATATATAACACCTCTAAAATATTGTATTATATTTTAAAGGAGATCCGAGTAATATAATAGTTTCGCAGATACAGCCTTGAGAACTTGTGCCTAGTGAGGCTCGAAACTATGTTTCTGAAGTCGGTCATAAGAGTAAAGTCAGCCGGATGTTCTAAAATCCTGATATTAGTTATATGAGGGGTAAATCAATTTTTCGCTCAAATTTATCTATTTTAGGCACAAAGATACACACTTATGAGTAAAATACGCTTTGTAATTTTTATTGAGATAATTCAAAGATTAGTCGATATATCCAGCATAAAGGGATCCAAATATTCGTACCTAGGGGTTTGAATAGTTTTTGTTGGATTTGCTTATAAGGTAGCTTAAGGCATTATTCGTGTAAAGTTTAATCCCATTATATTAGATGCTTCTAAAGTAAAAGAAGTAAAATAATCAAGGGGAATTTAAAATTGTGTTATATGGAAGCAAGGCGTCGTCTCTGACAATGATTAATCGCGCTTTTAGTAGTTTTGAATAGTACCGTTATATAGGGAGTGAACGGGGTTCCGATTTCGTCCATTTTCACGGTAGGTAGGAATTCTTGTAATATTCGCGCTGAGCGCATTTGGTTGTTGTAGCTTTAGGAGGTATATAAAGTTATTAGAGGGAGGGCCCATGCCCGCTTTTTCCAAATTTTTTTTCCATAGCTGCCTCTGGCTAGTGCGATCCCCTGTGCCAAATATGAGTTTTATGTTTTAATTTAGTGTTTAGTTATGGCAGTTTATAGGTTTTCGGTTAATGAAAATTTGTGGGCGTGGCAGTGGTCCGATTTCGCCCATCTGCAAGCTCGGAATTTTTTTTTTTTGTACTATTTAAACCACATACCAAATTTCATCCAGATATTTCAATTTTTACTCAAGTCACGATTTGCACGGACGGACGGACAGACAGACAGTCAACCAGATTCAATAGCCCTATATCTGTCTCGATTAGTTTTAGGTGGTACAAAACTATAATACTTTGTAGCAACTGTGTAGCAAAAATATCGCTAAATTTTCACTGAAATTAAATTATTTTGTAAAGATACCTGTCAAAAACACAATTTCAGTTTTTTCCCCCAATTGTCAAAGTTCTAAGTTAAGGTATGTTTTAACTAAAACAATTATATTTTCACATTAGATGATACTGTAGGTGCATATAGCCGAATTTAAATATTTTTTCCAAAAATGTCTGAGATTCTTAGTTAATAGTGCATAATTGTAACAATAAAAAGTTCGTATAAACTATTTAATTTTTTATATGTGAAAAAATTGTTGAAAAAGGGCTGTTTATTATTCGAGGAACCCATGCAACCTCTTAATAACAAAATGCAAGAAGGGCAACGGCAAAAACTCGCTTATGTTTTGCGTGTTCAGCAAGATCAGTTTCTATATAGACAAAGTTTCTCAAGGCAAAATGCCTGAATTTTTTGTAACAAATATTTTGGATAGAAGTCGTAAGAGTTATGTTTGCCAAGGAAAATGCTAACACAAAATAATTTTCCAAATTTGAGCCAATTGAGGGCTTAGATAGTTGATATTTTATTTAACAGATTTCGAACATCATTCGTTGCCTTTGTTTTGATTTGTTTTTCATGGTAGCAAATACTTCTTAACGCAATTATTATTATGTAAATATAATATAATAACATATAAACAAGTAATATGTATACTTCTTTTAATAAAATAATCCTAAATTTTATTTAATAATATTATTATTACTGTATAACATAATAAACAATTTCAAAAATACAAATAAGCTTCGAACGTTATATTGTAATATAATATTAACTGGTTATCTAAAAATATAAAAGCTATACAAAAACACATTCGCTGGATCTTACTTAAATCGCGACTTAATAATTTCAGCCTAAATAAAGAATATAATAAAATTTGATATGAAATATACGAAAATTTTTTTGCTAAAGAAACATATAAGTATTAGTTTTAAGTATGAGTTAGTTGCAAAATGGGCATTTATAGAAGCTGTTTTTCTTTGGTATTTAAAAATTTGAACATTCGAAAAAATTCATCTTAAATGCTACTATAAGTTGTACTACATACAATATAGATGTAGGTATGTTTAATTACTAAACGCACTAGTAACGGAATAAGAAATCGTTGGCAAAGACTTACTACTTGAAACTCTCAAAACAGATTGATTAAGGAAAAAACGTCATTCCAAATTGAAGCGGTGATGAGGAAAGATATTCTAGTGTGTGATGCAGCCTTTCAAAGTACAAAAGTACGAATAAAGGGTAATAAAAGTACAAAATAGGAGTGAAAAGGAAAACAATGGAATTTCATATATATTTAATGTGTAAAAACAAAAACAGGCTGGAAATGAAATGCAAGGCTCGGCTAGGAGCAAAGTCAAAGCAAAATTTGCAATTACCAAAGAAAAACGGACGTTAGCCGTAGATAATCAATCAAAATCAGTGGTCAGTTCAAAAAAAACTAACAAACAGAAAGTACACGAAAGAACAAACCATGGAAAGGGAGCAAAAAAGCAAGAAAAATAACAAAAAAAAAAAAGAAAAAATGGTTGTGGAACACAGCCAGTGGCTAAACCTTGGATGTATGAAAAATAAGATAATCATCAAAACAGAAATATTAAATAAAATATCAGATGAGTGGAATGGCGATGGTTGTGGGTGATACACACTAAAAGAACAGAGAAGAGGAACACGCCTTGAGAAAAAATCGCAGTTTGGGGCAAAGTAACGAGAGCTTAGTGAGTAGGCAGGAATAGGAGAAACCTTCCGTTGCATATGTGTGTACAAAAATTTAATGAATAGCCCAATTTTGGCTATACCAATTTAGATATACCAATTTCAAATTAATCATAAATAAATACATATGCAATTCTCACTACTCTTGGTGGTTCTAATTTGAGGTGGTTATGATAGCGACTGACGATGATGTGACATTGGCAAAGATATTGACAGCTCACTAGGGCTGTGACATACTGATGATGTGGGTGTTAATTGTTCTAAGGTGTCAATTACTAATGCTAAATGATAGTTAGGCGCTGGGTGAAGGCGACGATAGGACGCGGAAACATATGATTGTTTACAAATTTATAATGAATTGGCCTATGCAGTCATGGTATATAGTGGACGGTGGTTGTACTCGTATAGAACAAGAAAAACAATTTTTTCGGGTCTGTTTTATAGCGCGTGATAACGAAATTGTATTAGGTGCGAAACTAAGTTCCCGTTGTTTGTCAAAAGATGACTCCAGCAGTTCATGTTGATCGTTTTTTATACTATATACAAAGCGTGATAAGCTTGAGCCTTATTTGTTTCTGTGTCATATACTTTTGGTTGTGCGAATATGTGCGGTTGTTGCAAAATCATCGCCATTCCGGGATGTGATGATTTTCTTCTTTTAGTCAAAGAAATCGGCTTCTAAAGCACATTGAGAACTCCAAAAAGTTTATGGAGCTGTTGCCTTAAGTAAATCAACGTGCTGTGGTTGGTTTCGTCGCTTCAATGGCGGTAATTTAGATATTAATGACTGTCCGCGGGAAGAAAAGCCAAAAGCCTGTGAAGACGAATAGGCATTAATGTCCACCAAAAGGTGATACGTTTGCACCGTAATGCGATGTTTGGGCGATTGCCATGCTCTCAGCAAACTATCTTGTCAAGTTATTGTCTCCTTGATTTTCGTATAGCATCATGAGATGAACAGCTTTACCTTAATGGGTTTCAAGCTTTTCAATAAGATAAATAATTTTACTTTAATTGTATTAAAATTTTCCCAGAAAGATAGGAAAAAGTGGTGACTAGAAATGGCTAATACTTCGAATAGTTAATTTGTAACCATTTACTTACAATAAAATTGCATTTTTATTAAAACAAAATAGAGAGTACTTAATTTTTTTTTTAAATTATATATTTTTGCCACATTTTCAAGCTTCAGTTTTTTTTTTCAGGTGCACTGTGTAATTTTTAATACCAATTTCATAAACTATTTTACATTAAAAATTTACCACTATTTAACTTATTGTGTAAGTAATTTACCACTACTTGACTACTGTATACCAATTTACTGCGATATGACCATGAAATATGCATTTATAGGGCGCAGTATGTCTAGTAAACACACACACAGCCACAAATTAAATCCACACACACACACTCACAAACATGAGGGGAATCAAGAGCAAGCATTTAACCATGTTGTAGTTGTTGCTCGTTGCATTTTAAATTTGGTTTTCTAATAAAGTGGTAGAAACGGGTATCGGCAGCAGGTGTACAGTAATTTGTTTTGGGATATTTCAATTCACAATACGAAATTGCGGTTTTTTAGTATGCTCTTTTGGTTTGGTTTTTGACTTTCTTTATATTTGTTGTTGTTGTTGTGTATATGTGTACCTTGACTCGCTCCAAATCGACGGCATTCATCATGGTGCCCTGAAAAAACGCCACCGTCGTATAGTGACGCTTCAGCAAACCTTCTAGCTCCAGATCAGGCTCCTTGCTATACAGGGAGTTGATTGTGAATGTTTACAGTATTTTTTATTAATTATTGGGTTAGACTTTAGTTACACTTCTTGCTATTGGTGAGTGTGTTAATTATTATATATTTATTTGCTGGTTTTGTTATTATTATTATAAGGCAAACTTTTAGTAAAATTGAAGGAATTAATTGTAATAAAATAAAAATACTTGGAAACTATAGCTATAAATTTACGTTTTAACGTTATGTATATTTAGAGCATAACTAATCCTATATTCTGTAAATAAAAATAAAATTTCCAATAATTTCAATTCAATAAAAATACAAATACAATAAAGTAGAGAAACAATTGCAAACATTTGATATAAATGAGGTTTACAAGGAGTCCAGTTCGAATTTTATTTAAATGTATTTTCTTAGTCTTACGGTTAAGTTTATACCGTCAAGAGCTAGAAAATTCTTATCACTTCCACTGGCACCACCGTTTTCTTCATATTAATTGATATTAGTCATAACGACACAACACCAAATTAAAGATATTATATAATACCAAAGAAGCAAAGGCTTGCAAGTGGTACATGTTAGATATTCTAATGAACAAATTTTACTCTGAGAAGGTTCAAAGTAAACATAGGAAAAGATGGCTGGCGTAAGGATATAAAAACTTTGCGCAACACTCTAATTATTTATACGGATTGCTCTAAAATGTACGATCGAGTTGGTGCAAGAAGAAACTGTCCAGAGTTAGGCATGACCGCCGTATGATTTTATACCTTTTGCCGGACCACCGCAGTATATTTCATTGAGGTCTTTGCTACTGCAAAAGCCGTGCAGCTGGCCTTTAATGTATCCAATCAAGGCAGTAACCTAATTTCGCATATCCGCCAAAAGTGTCTTTTGGAAGGCATAGGAGAAGCAAGCAATTTCACTACTATGGGAGCTATGCTAAAAAGGCATCGAGGGCAATGAAATAGTGGACGAGATTGCCTAAAATGGTGAACGGCTAAAATTCGAATACGTGATCAAACGGTAGACCACTTGTGCACTTGTCCCGCATTGGCAAGGCTACGTTGTAGGCATCTGGGGTTCCCTAGGTATGATACACTGGAGAAGCTATCGATAGTGAGGGTAGAGCAGAAAGGGCAGAGTCTGTTATTCGCGTCAAGAGCAGGCATCATAAAGGATGACTATTTCTCATGGACGTAGCAACTGCACTCCATCTGACAATTGGACAGAATTTGGTCTAAACCTGGTATATGCGTGGCGTATTGGCCTACTTAACCTAACCTTACATGTTATCAATAATTAATTTTTTTTTTTTTTTTTAAAGGAAAACTATAGAATTGTATTAGTGCCGAGAGCGTAGCTAGTTAGCTAGTAGTTAAGATGTTAATTTAAGAAAACGAGTTCATAGTTAAATGGTACAAAACCTATAAAGTAACCTATTATATAGTAAGTATAGTAGTTTAAGCTCAACTCGCTGGCTGCGTCGGGGCATTGGCTGTCTTTGGCTATAAGGTTTAAGATGTTTGCAACGGCTTAATGTGAATATATATGCATATACTTATTTATTATTTAATTAAATAATATAAGAAAGTGAAATATCAAAATATATATGTGAAAGTAGTTAATATATTACTACAGTTATCACCATACTCATTATAAATGAATAATTTTCGAATGAATTTCTTCCCGTCTTATTTCATTTACTATTTATAATTTTTTTTATAAGATACACGTATATAAGCTTACATAAATATAAACAAATAAATACTTAAAGAGCACAACGGCAGAGGCGAAAAAGAATTCGAAGAGCAGACTTACCGATGTAAAAATACCACCTCCACGTCCACATCTTCTCGATCTTCGTGCAGGAAATCCTTTAAGAAATGCGACACCGACTCGTACGTTATATGTCCGCAAACGACAATATGTCTATGAATTATTAATGGGCGTGTCAGCAGCAGCAAACACACAAGCACATGGTGCAGCGTGTCATAATAAATCGCAATGACACAACAAGCAAGTTACAAAGAGCGTCAATGGTCGCGGCGGGAAGCAGTCGAGCACCAAAGTGCAGGCGGGCCGAGTCATGTGAATGACGCCGCATTGCAGTTGGAACCGGTCGTTAGCCAGACAGTCACACCAGCGTAGTTATGCAGTCACGTAGGTATATGTGTGTATGTGGCGTTTGTGTGTGTGCATGTGGAACAAACGATTTTGCATATGAAATGCAATTTTGTTCAATATTTGCACGAAGAGAATGAATGAAAAGAGAATTCGATTAGAAAATTTGGTATTGACAATGGCTAAGGAGTAAATACGAGTATAGCATATTATATGTAGAACAGAGAGAAGTACATAAATATATTTCATACATATATATACTTGTACAAACATAAATGTTAATAAATTCTGTATTTGTGTGTATAGTTGAGTTGTAAATCATAGGTAAATAAGTGTACGAGTATACTGTGTTATATTAAATACTTATATATTTGTAGTGTATATAATGCATTTTTTTGGTATATATCTGGTATGTATGAATAAATTTACAGTGATATATAGAATATAAATGAATAAGATAATTTGTAGGTATGTGTGTAAGGCCGCAAAGGGAAAATATATTTTAATTGTATGAGTCTAAGTTATATCTTGTACATAGATATGTATGTGTGTTTATTGTGAAGGTAACTGTAGTTAATATAAGTTGCTTATATAATATTTATTATTTTGTGTATTTGGCGTGTACTATGTTGAAGGCAGCTCCAAAAGTCTATGTAGCGTGTGGAGGAGTACAGTGGCGTGCAGAAATATGATTTTCCATCATCCAACCATCAATAGGCTTAGAGAAAAATCACATGTCTACAAACGCACTGTGCTGCAATTAGTTAGCAATAGTAATATTTTTACAATATTCTAGTAGTTGCATGTGTTTGTATAACGGCATATATGTACATATGTGTGCATGTATTTAATGTTTCTACACTTGTGTGTGTGTGTGTTGTTTTTTATTTGTATAAATTTTGTGGAATTGTGTTTGTGTGTTGTACGTTTATATAATTCAGTCTCAGTGTTCTTGTTACAGAAATTACATAAGTATATATTTAATGTATAAATTGCTAAATAAAAAGTCATTTGAAAAATATATTAAAACTCAATAAATAAACGAGCATTAAATTCGATATAAGTTAAAATATTAAATAAATAAATATATATTACGGGCTCTCAAATCATATGATGAATAGAAAGAAAATGTTTATTTACTTTTTTTTTTTCAAAACAAAAATTTAGTTATTTAGTCTGCTACCCCAGAGTTTACATTAGGAGGATACTTTATATTAACACTACACCATTTTGTGGGAGAATATACATTTTAAAGAAAAATAAAATGAAAAAATGTGCAAATGGTGGACAATTCTGAAATATACTAATATGTTTTATTTTCACTGGTTTAGAAATAATCAATTTATGACCACTGAATAACAATTTTATAAATAAAACTTAAATTTTCGTTCAGTATGAGTAGTCTTTATTATGTAGTAATCAGGGGAAAAATATGGTTTTGTAGGTTTTAATAAAAATTAATTAGTTATTGATAATTAATTTTATAATATTTGATTTTATACTTTTATTTGAAAAGTTCAAGTTAATCCGTTATATAATAGCAGGTACATAACTTCAAAAATAGGTCTACATACAGCTGTCACAGTGTATTTTAGAAATTTTTTTGTCTCAAACTATTACACCGTGTTTGGCAAAATTTCGAATTAAGAGTTTCAGGACGATTTTTGATACATCTTGAGATATAATCTAGTACTTATGACTATAAAACTATTGTGAATACACGTTGTAGTGACTTAACTCTAAAATGTCTGTCCCTAAGGGTATGAAATATTTATTTGTTTATCATAATAGTGTAAATTGGTATCAACGGCTTTTTTCAATCGATTTATATGCTACATAGTATCTTTACACCGAATGAAATTACCTTATACATGAAATTAAATGCTGCAAATGCTCGCCTCCTATAATCTCTAAGTCTAATATGGTATTTGTCCTTTCGGCTAATTTGGTTAAGGTACCGTTACAAACATATTTTATTTGTTACGTTCGCTTTTTTAAAACAAATTAATGATTTTATTGCATCAAATAAATGTAATTATATTTCAAATTATTCACCATTTGCTTAAAGTTCTTTAAATATCATATAAAATTTCATTAACTATGTGGGCATGCAAACATAAACTAAAACTACTGATACATACCAACGACTGGAATGGGTAAACATTAAAATCATCGCAAAATGCTAAATAAATTTAAATACACTCACACATTAATAGAGACTACACAAATGAAGTGCTCCCAACAACTTGACCACTACACATGCCGCGTTTGGTGATTAATTCAACGATATGCTATGTTACGTTATGTTATGGTATGATATGTTATGTTAAGTTATGCTATGTTACGGCATGTGATGCTATAAAATGTTATGTTAAGGCAATGTTATGTTATGTTATGTTATGCTATCTTATGTTATGTTATGCTTTTTTAGGTTATGGTATGTAATGTAATATTATGATATATTAATGATGTGTTATGGTTGATAATATGACATGAATTCGTGTAATTTATACTTATTTGTTAGTAAATGTAAATTGCGCAACACTGTAAATTTCGCGCAACACACTAGCCAGCAACATGCAAATATGATTATGAATTATGTATACTTTTTTTGTATTTATGTACTATAAACGTAAAATGTTAGGCTAAAAAAAAATGATGGTCAACAAATTGCATGAGATGTTTTTGTTTTTGTAAACGATGCTCTTTCCGTTGTGAATATTATTGATGACGTAGTTAAAAGATGGATGGCTTGAGCAGGCCAACTAATGAATTATACATATAAGTAATTCGGTGATGAGTGGGGCGAAATTTTTTATTTTTATTTTTTGATTTCACGCTGCTACACAGCAATTAATTACAGTTTCCGTTTACTGATTTGCAATTTCAATGATACGATGTGCGATAATGTGAGGTTATGAGTGTGAAAGCATACTTATTTGATGACATTTAAGTAATGGAGGTTTGTGATTGATTCACCAGTGAACTCAAGCGGTCGCTATGAATGATTTATCTGATTTTTGTTTTTATGGAATCTATGAAGATGTCAACAATTTCTTTGATGATGTAATGTTTTTGGTTAGCGTTTTCAACTACTTTTTGTTATATATTTAAATGTGTGTTGGTGTGTGTGTTAAAAATGGTTGCACTAATGCTCAGGCAGTGGTTGCTTTAGCAAATACTACTTGCGTTCTTTATTGAGAAGGAAAAAGAAAAACCATACTTGAAAATATAAATTCTTGTGTGTGCGCTTGTAACGAAATTGAATTGATATATGGTGGTAGAAGGAATTTTCAAAGCAATTAAAGGTGGTTGTCAAAATTGCAAAACACAAATGTTGCTCGAGTCCAAACAACGAACGAACAACTTAATTTTTTGCATACTTAATTTTATACTCTATTCTGTGTTTGGTTTCGTTTTTAAAAAATTGATGCCTGGCCACGCATTTCAGTCATGACTTTTTAATTACTTTGTTTATGCTAGTCATATTCGAAATATATTTACACTCTTTGAATATGACAGACTAAGCTTGATTTTTTATTTTCTTACATATTTTGATTTATTTCGATAATTAATGCTTTTGGTTTGTAGTTGCATTGCTAGGTGAATGATAGCGTGTGCGATTTGGTGGTGAAATGAAAACTAAAATTCGTATGAAGGATTCATGAAGTTGTGCGGGAAATTCAAGAATTGTGATGAGCTTGTCTGATCATTCTACATACATACAGTACTTTAATAGCTAAGTTACTCGTACTCATGGATATTCGTTTCTTTTGGATGACTGCTAACTAATGGCTAGTTTTTTAATGCAGGTTTTGCATGAATTTAAAGTGAAGATTTTATAGGTAAGGTAGATAAACTAACGCTGAGTTTTTAAGTTTAAAATTGATGTCAAATGTGTTGGACTTTTCAGATAATTGTTATTTTTTTTTCTGAGTAAGAATTTTACAACTTGGCATGATTCGCATTTAAAATTAACTATCGGATAAAAAATATCGAAAATTCAACCTAACTATGCTTGTCGAGGACATTCTAAGTTAAAGATACAAATATCGAAATTTCAACATAACTATGCTTGAAGTTAAGAGAAAAGAATGTTGAAAATTTGGCATAATTATGCTACTAGCGTTCTCGTACTCTCTGTTGAAGGTACGAAAGAGCGTCTTTCATTCGCGACAGCATACCATTTTTATGAAACCGACTTAGTTTTTATTGAGCTATCTTCTTTAGGAAAAACGAAAACATTCGCCATCAAATCAAAGATGCTTGAAACATATACCTAACTCATAATAAAAATAGAGACATTGCTGATGTTCAGCAAAGTATCAACTTTCAGGTTATAAGTTCCACATTACTATCGATAGCGGCAACTTTGTTTAAAAAGCATATGAAAGTACCTTTAATCAATTCAAAAAATTCAAAAATTCGTTGTCCTCAGATTTTGCAGTTGTAGCAATTTTCTGGTAGTATTTATAACTAATATTTAATTAATTAATATTTTATTAATTTATATTTATTTACTACTTCTCAACCACTCACCAACACATTTGACATTTATTTAGCAACTTTAACAAAATAACTACTTTTTCACTATAAAAAAATGCTTATAAAATATATTACTGTGTACATGTATGCATACGTTGTAGTAGTTAAAATAAAATATTATAATAATTAAATATGGGTGCTCTACGCTTACTGCGTTTTGTCCTGCATTTACCACAGAAAATCCTATTTTTCCCTTATATTAAGGTAAATTAGCTTAAATATTGTTGCCTCTGCCTATAAAAACTATTTTATAAAAAAAACTA